GCGGCCATCAGGGCCGTACCAGATGCCAGTATCTGGATCCTTCTTTGCCCGTTTTTGAACCCACATGGATATTTCTTCAGGAGCTGCTTTTGTTTGGGCTTCAGCTAAAACCTGAAGGGACAGATCGGGCAGGCAGTCTGCCAGGTCTGGCCCCTCGTCCCGAACCACAAACACTCCTGGAGTACTGACCTTGTAGTTGGCAGCTTTCTTTGCGGCCTCATCCGCCGCCTCGTTTCCCCTGGCCTCAAAGTTGTCTGACTTGGAGTGCCCTTGGCACTTGATGACGCTCACCTGTTTTGGAAGCTGGAGAGCGCTGTCCAGCCTCTCCACCAGGGCTCTATGTGTGATGGGTCGGCCTTTAGCAGTCAAGAAGCCGTTTCTTTTCCACTCGGAGAGGTTGAAATGGACAGCCTGAGTAGCATACGCAGAGTCGGAGTAAATATTTACAGATTTACCTTTAGCAAACTCCAAGGCGGCGCAGAGAGCCTCTAGTTCTGCCGCCTGCGCTGATGGTTTGTCAGTTAAAACACCGCTGTTTACTGTAACAAAATTTTCACCGTTAACACTGACAACTGCATATGCCGCTCTCAGGCTGCCATTCCTCTCTCTCCAGCAACACCCATCTGTGAAAAGCTGTAAGTCGGGGTCCTGAAGTGGGTCAGTCTGGAGGTCAGGTCGCACTTTCAGACTGTCTATTACCCTTACACTGCAGTCATGGGGCTCACCCTGTCTTGGCATGTGGTCAGCCATGTTAATGCCAAGAGGTGTAAAAGTTATGTGGGGCTGAGTGAGCACCTGTAAGAGCCGTGACTGTCTCAAAGGTGACATAATGAATGCAGCTGAGGACACATATGCACAAACGCCATGATCAGTCAATATTTCTAAAGCATGCCCCATGACTAAATGTGCTGTTTTCTTAATCAAATGTCCCACTCCTGCAGCATACCTAGAACAGTCAACCTGTCTAGCCTCGATTGAATCCAATGGAACGCTAATATACTGTAAGATTTTTCTCTGGCCTCTGCACTTTTGATATAACACCCCGTTAGCTACCTGAGACTGCACTGTGGCATCTAAATAAAACGGGAGAGCATAATCTGGTGTGGCTAAATGAGCCGCAGAGGATAGGTCCTGTTTGAGTGAGATAAACTGTGCCTCACTATCTCTGTCCCAATTCAGTTTAGCCCTTGTGTTTCTCATGCCATGTTCATTAACTAAAGCTCTTAAAGGTTTAGTTTTGTCTGCAAAATCTGCCACATAGTGTCTGCTATAGCCTATCAGACCCAGGAAGGACAACATGTCCCCCACCATGGTGGGTCTGGGATATGACAAAATAGCATCTCTGTGCTCTGGAGACATATTTGTGGATCCTCCAGACACACTACGTCCCAGGAAGGTCACCGCAGGCCTGCAACATTGTAGCTTTTCCTTACTGACCTTAAATCCTTTTGAATGTAAGAAGACTATAGTGTCCCTAGTGGCTTGTAGACAGGCCTGCTCCGTTCTCGAGGCGAGGAGGAGATCGTCCACATACTGTAGGAGTACCACGCCCTCCGGAAGCACCAACTCTCTCAGCAGAGCGTTCAAAGTCTGATTAAAAATGCCCGGGGAGCATTTATGTCCCTGGGGAAGACGGGTGTAACGCAGTTTTTGGCCCCTGTGAGTAAATGAGAAGAAATCTCTGCTTTCCTCTGCCAGGGGAATACAGAAAAATGCATTAGCCAAATCCATAACAGTAAAATACTGGAGGTCTGGTGACAGTGATGACAGCATTGTATAAGGGTTTGGGACCGGGAGACACGGAGTTAATGTTAAATCATTTATTTTTCTCAAATCATGGACCATTCTATATTTATTCTGACCTGTTTTTGGCACAGCTAGAGTGGGCGTGTTCCACTCTGATTTTGATGGCTCGAGGACTCCCACTTTCGTAAGTCCCTCTATCACCTGTGAGATACCCTCGACAGCGTCTGGTTTGGCGGCATACTGCTTTATGCGAATCGGGCCTCCTGGCTTCATCTGTAAAGACACAGGAGGGAAAGAGGTGCACAACCCCACGTCCGTGGGACCTTGGGACCAAACTTCTGCAGGCACCTGTTTCAATATTTCATGAGTATCATCATGATCTGTCATGTGTCTACCATGATGTCTGGTCAATGTTTCGTGCTCCACTTCCCCTGTGTCTATCATATTTGCTTTTATCCTGTATGACTTATTTTCAATGCTGTACTCTACATGAGGGAGTTGGGTGTCAGACCAATCGTCAGCTTTTACCAGTCTCTTTACCATTGGACCTAAAGCTCTAGCCTCGTGACCAGGGTGTACAGCCAAGGTGATGTGTGGGACAGCAGAGGAAGACATGTAATACCACTCACACTGTTCAGGAAGCAGCCGTGTATGGGCCGCCACACCCTCAGGCCCAATATAAATGTAATCTGATTCTAATGTCCACCTATCACTTTCAATTTGTTTGAATTGTTCTCTGTACATTAAGTCTTGGTCTCTGTCATAGAATAATGTCAAGTGGGCAGGGTCCAGTGGGAGGTGGTAGGAGGCCAAAGAATTTATCCAGGGTTTCCACTTGAAGAAGACGGAATGCACACCATTATTGTCCGTGGACTTGTTTTCTGGGTCCAGTCTCACCCAGTATATGTCTGCATACTGGTCTGGCATCTCTTCTCTCAGAAGCCAGCAGGAGTCCATCGATACACCGGTCACACATCTGTAAATTTGTCCCCCTGGAAAAGTCACTTGTAGACCATCCGGTCCACATAGAATTGACGCATTGGTTTTAGTCAATAAGTCTCTTCCCAGCAGGTTGACAGGTGTTTTAGGAGCATTTACAAAAGAATGCCACAGTGTCTGTGTTCCAATTTGTGTCTTTAAACGTTTAGTGAGTGGCAGTACCTCAGGTGTCCCAGAAAATCCAACCAGGGTGATGTGCTCCTCAGAGAGCAGGACAGGGCGTATCTTTGTATTGATGGTAGAGTAGGTGGCGCCAGTGTCCACCAGGGCCATCAGGTTGTCGTCCTCCACCCTTATGGGGAGCATAGGCTCTGCTGGTACCTTGTCCCCTGGATTTCCTAGGCAGCCCTAGTAAGATTGTTCATGTTCATACTCGCCCCAGTAGTTCCCCTGCTGGTAGTATTGTCCATCTCTCGGGGCCAGGTTGTCATTCGGAGCCGTCCATGGGGAGGGAGGGCCTGCGCGCTCTGGTCTGGGTCCCATGCCTCTCTGGGGGCCCCTCCCACGCACCATCTCAGGCGCTCCATGGTAGTAGGAGGCCTCTCCTTCAAAGGGGCAGTCCTTCGCCCAGTGACCGTGCCTGTAACAGAGGTGACACACATCCCTGCCCCCTTTCCAGCTTCCACCCCTTCTTCCTCCCCGGCCCCCACGCCCACCACCTCTGGCCCCTCCCCTTGTCCAGTCCTGTCGTGGTGGAGTGGGAAGTCCAGCAGGCATATTAGTCATCTGATTACTGGTTCCTTTTTTATTCTGGGTGGCTTTATTTCTCGCTTCACTAAGCTGTAACTTCAAAAGTTGACAAGTCATATCTTCAACACTCTTTCTTTCTTTAGTTTTATTTTCAACATATCGCTTAATGTGAAAGATTAAATTTGTTTTCCACTGTGCTGAATCCGGGTTAATATTATCTGGGTTGTCTTCAATCTTTGAGCGTATTGTTTCTGGTAAACCATTCAAAATAGCTGCTCTAAAAGGCATGACTTCACTGACCTTGTGAGGGTGTCTTCCTACTGTGTCCATCCACTTGGTCACACTCCTGTCATAAAATACAATTGGGTCCTCAGACTCCAGCCAAGTTAACTCACGAGGGGCAGAAGACAGCGGAGTTGGAAAGTTTTCCCTCAGTGCTTCATACCAGGCATTTGCATATTGGCCAAATCTGGAAGAATCACAAACATCATCAGTACCAGCTTGTCTTTCAATAGCATCTCTCTCCCATGGTTTACTGCATGCTGCCAACACTGCCCGGACGTCACCCATCGCGACATCATGACCTGTAAACCATGTGTTCAGACTGGAAATCCAGTTTCCAGCTCCCTGACACAATGGAGGCATTTTGTCTTTTATAGTCTGCATGTCACTTACAGAAAAAGGATGGTACTCCCCAGCTGCGCCTCGTCCTGGTCTCAGAGGGAACATGGATTTTGTCTGAGACCTGGTTCTGCTTGCCACCGGTCTAGTTTCTCCAGGCTCCCGGTCTCCGTCATCACTACTATCGTCAGAAGAGAATTTAGCTCCTTTTTTAGCCTGTTTAGCTTTAAGTATTGGCTGGGCCATGGCACCGTCTCCCTTTTCATTTTCACTGTCCGTCCTAGTCATGGCTCTGCGTGCGGCTTTATTAATTAATTTTGCATTCTCCTGTCTAGCGGTCTCGTAATCATGGGTCCTACTTGGGGTTTCTTCTCTCTCAACTCTGTCTGTGGTGCATTCAGAGGTCGGTTTCCTAGCTCTAATATTTCTGAGAGAGTGCAGGAGCTCCTCTTGAATAGATGGGGGTTGGTGAGGGGTGTGTGGGAGCTGTGGCGGGAGGCTGACAGCTGGATTTTGACTCGGATCTCTATTGTCCCCCACAGACTCCTCTTCTGTCCCTTCGTCAAATTCACTGTCTACAAAGTCATTGTCCCCTCTCTTTCTTACCGCCACTTCTCCTGAAAATGTATATTGTGGCAATATTAGATTTGGCTTACCTGGTTCTAAACCTAGAGAATATTTTGGTGGAGCCGTGGGTAGGGATGGGTATATATTACTCACCGGCATTGCTCCGTTTTCTGTTTCCTTGTCTTTACTTACCATCGGTAATTTTGCCAACGCCGTGGCAGCCAAAGCAAAATTATGTACCTTGGTCCTCAGTTTCTCAGCCTTTTTTAGTTCCTTCTTAATTTTTCTACGCTCATTCCAACTCTCTCCCTGCTTTCCCTCAAGCTCAAGTTTATGCTGTTTTAAATTATTTTCCTCTTCCCGCAATATCTTAGCCAATGCGGACGCTGTCATATACTCAGGTATGACCCTTTTGTTCTGTATTTTTTCCCATGCTTTCACAGCCTTTCGTTTTGCCTTGTTCCTATATTTTTTATCCAGACCACTCAGAATCTGAGCCTCTATCTCTTTATAGAGCTGCTCGATTTGAATGCCTGTCTCCATTTTTCGGGGGGGCCCAAAATTCCCCCAGGCTCCAATGGGTTAAACCTAACTTGTGTGTTGACGCGTCCGTCAACCACGCTAGTCACAGCGGGCTTTTCTGTTTCTGGCAAGGCTTCTCAAAAAATCTTTACTTTTAATATATTCTCGCAGGGTTCTAGCTACTTAGACTCCTATTTTATTTAATTTTAACGTATTTTCGCAAGGCTCTCACTACTTTTTAGGCTTTTACTATTTTTACTTTTTGAATTAGCTCCTCCGTGGACAAAACTTCTCTCCCCTTAATTTGTGTAGTCCAATATGCAGATTTTTAATTAGTCAAAAGGTATCTGCTTACCTTCAAATCAGCGGCCGCTTTGAGGAGAGATGCAGAGTCCAAGGGAGAGGTTGAAAGTCATCAAAGGGATCACGTCGAGGGTCACCAATTATTGTATTAAAAAAATGACGTGTTCAAAATCCCTTATAGAGATGACCAGGATTCAGAAAGTTAAATTCAAAAAAGGTTTATTTCCCTAATACAAAAGAATCTAACACAACGACCTGGACCAACTTTAACTATCCCTTATTCCCTATATAAAGCATAAAGTATGACTTTGGTGGGCGCTCCAGCAAAGTCACACTGCTGTCCCTGATCCAGTCTAAAAAACTCTAACTAACACATTCAAGCTATTCCTTAAGTAAATGTGCAGGAAGAAGGGGCGTGGTATCAGCCAGCTTCCGGGGTCCCGTGGTCCGCCTTCCTCCATCTGTCTTCTCCCGTCTGCATCTAAAAAAGAATCCATGCCTCTCTAACCTAGCGTCTCCGGCCAGCTGTCTCTTGGTCTGAGATCCATCTCTGTTGTCTAAACAAGTGCGTAGACTAGCAGGCTCCAGTGTCAACCCACTCCTGATGGAGTGGGTTCAATAATGCAACAGTCAGCATGTACCAAGGCTAGGCAGACAAAATCCAAACAGAAGAACCCATCTGTTACTTTAGCTGGTCCCCCAAGAAGACCCCTAAAATTAACTTAAAAGGACTGGCCTGCCACTCAGAGGTTGATAGACATTCTAAAACACATGGTTTTAGAATGTCTCTTATTTATAAATACAACAATGAATAATCTAAATGTGTTTGTTTTTCCAGATCCGGTACATCTCCCAGACTCAAGGCCTTCCTGCAGAGTATTTATTAAGTGCTGGGACAAAAACAACCAGGTTTTTCAACAGAGATTCGGAGTCTACGTACCCGCTCTGGAGACTTAAGGTTGGTGTAACGTCTATACCCTCTGCCAGGAACAGACCCAAACAAAGTGGGAGCTAATAAGAGCAAAATGGATTTGTGTGAGAGGATTTGGAAAATGGAAGGAAAACTTGATAAAAAAATCCTCTCAGTCATCTCCCTCTTTCGACTGACTGGGTTTATAGGCCACTCCATAAGTACTGCCACGGCTCTTAGCATCTTACAGAGTTGGAAGTGCCCAGACCAGACCAGACCAGACCAGACCAGACCAGACCAGACCAGACCAGACCAGACCAGACCAGACCAGACCAGACCAGACCAGACTCTGAATGTTTAATGGTCAGGTCCTGTGTATATTCACCAACACTAAAAGGTATTTTCTATTTAACCTTTAAATAAGGTAAAATAAAAGGGTGATGTTTGTCTTTGTTTAGACTTGATATAGGATTAATTTTCTAAATAAAAGATTTGATATGTACTGATTAAAAATAAAAATAAGATCCTATATTTGTCCATCAGCAGGTACATTTCAGTGTTGCATCACAAGTTACAGATTGGTTATCAGTGACTATTGGATTTAGCTCTGACTCTATACCTCTAATTAAATATTTATGAAAACATAGTTTTTAGTCTTTAGTTTTGGCATTGTGTTTGTGTTTATGGAGATAGATGTAATCCTTACTTTAAACACTCTAAACAACACAGTAGCATCTCCGGTCTCTCTCTCTCTCTCTCCCCGGTCTCTCTCTGGTCTCTCTGGTCTCTCTCTGGTCTCTCTCTGGTCTCTCTCTGGTCTCTCTCTCTCTCTGGTCTCTCTCTGGTCTCTCTCTGGTCTCTCTCTGGTCTCTCTCTCTCTCTCTCCCCGGTCTCTCTCTGGTCTCTCTCTGGTCTCTTTCTGGTCTCTCTCTCTCTCTCTCCCCGGTCTCTCTCTGGTTTCTCTCTGGTCTCTCTCTGGTCTCTCTCTCTCTCTCTCCCCGGTCTCTCTCTGGTCTCTCTCTCTGGTCTCTCTCTGGTCTCTCTCTGGTCTCTCTCTCTGGTCTCTCTCTGGTCTCTCTCTGGTCTCTTTCTGGTCTCTCTCTGGTCTCTCTCTGGTCTCTCTCTGGTCTCTCTGGTCTCTTTCTGGTCTCTCTCTGGTCTCTCTCCAGTCTCTCTCCGGTCTCTTTCTGGTCTCTCTCTGGTCTCTCTCTCTGGTCTCTCTCTCTGGTCTCTCTCCAGTCTCTCTCCGGTCTCTTTCTGGTCTCTCTCTGGTCTCTCTCTGGACTCTCTCTGGACTCTCTCTGGTCTCTCTCTGGTCTCTCTCTGGTCTCTCTCTCTGGTCTCTCTCTCTGGTCTCTCTCTCTGGTCTCTCTCCAGTCTCTCTCCGGTCTCTCTCTGGTCTCTCTCTGGTCTCTCTCTCTGGTCTCTCTCTGGTCTCTCTCTCTGGTCTCTCTCTCTGGTCTCTCTCCAGTCTCTCTCCGGTCTCTTTCTGGTCTCTCTCTGGTCTCTCTCTGGACTCTCTCTGGACTCTCTCTGGTCTCTCTCTGGTCTCTCTCTGGTCTCTCTCTCTGGTCTCTCTCTGGTCTCTCTCTGGTCTTTCTCTGGTCCCTCTCTCTGGTCTCTCTCTGGTCTCTCTCTCTGGTCTCTCTCTGGTCTCTCTCTCTGGTCTCTCTCTCTGGTCTCTCTCTGGTCTCTCTCTCTGGTCTCTATCTGGTCTCTCTCTCTGGTCTCTCTCCAGTCTCTCTCCGGTCTCTTTCTGGTCTCTCTCTGGTCTCTCTCTGGACTCTCTCTGGTCTCTCTGGTCTCTCTCTGGTCTCTCTCTGGTCTCTCTCTCTGGTCTCTCTCTCTGGTCTCTCTCCAGTCTCTCTCCGGTCTCTCTCTGGTCTCTCTCTGGTCTCTCTCTCTGGTCTCTCTCTGGTCTCTCTCTCTGGTCTCTCTCTCTGGTCTCTCTCCAGTCTCTCTCCGGTCTCTTTCTGGTCTCTCTCCGGTCTCTCTCTGGTCTCTCTCTGGTCTCTCTCTCTGGTCTCTCTCTAGTCTCTCTCTCTGGTCTCTCTCTCTGGTCTCTCTCCAGTCTCTCTCCGGTCTCTTTCTGGTCTCTCTCTGGTCTCTCTCTGGACTCTCTCTGGTCTCTCTCTGGTCTCTCTCTGGTCTCTCTCTGGTCTCTCTCTGGTCTTTCTCTGGTCCCTCTCTCTGGTCTCTCTCTGGTCTCTCTCTCTGGTCTCTCTCTGGTCTCTCTCTCTGGTCTCTCTCTCTGGTCTCTCTCTCTGGTCTCTCTCTGGTCTCTCTCTCTGGTCTCTCTCTCTCTGGTCTCTCTCTCTGGTCTCTCTCTCTGGTCTCTATCTGGTCTCTCTCTCTGGTCTCTCTCTGGACTCTCTCTGGACTCTCTCTGGTCTCTCTCTGGTCTCTCTCTGGTCTCTCTCTCTGGTCTCTCTCTCTGGTCTCTCTCTCTGGTCTCTCTCTGGTCTCTCTCTCTGGTCTCTCTCTCTGGTCTCTCTCTCTGGTCTCTCTCTCTGGTCTCTCTCTGGTCTCTCTCTGGTCTCTCTCTGGTCTCTGTCTCTCTTTTTCTCTGCATACTTTCTCGAGTTATACCAAGCAGAGTAAGCTGAGCACTATTGTAAAAGTATCTGTCTGTGTGTAAAGTATAACTAGCACATTGTGAAACTTGTTTTTCCATGTCACAAATGTAACTCAGAACATTAAATCAATCCCAATTAAATCAATCAATCGGGACGAGGGTTGGCACACACTGCTGTCTCCCGTGTTTCTATATCTGAATGTGTGTAGCACTGTGCAGCGTTCGTATCGGGCTTAATGGCTGAATATTTGGTATATTGTTGGCCTCGACACGCCGTCTCTGCGGTCGTCTCCGCGGCCGTCTCCGCGGTCGTCTCTGGCTGTTAGATGAATGTGTGTGCGTCACCTCAGGGCTCCTCCGAGGGCGAGCCCAATCCTGCTGCACGTCAACAACAAGAGACCGTAATGAGCCCGATGTAAATAGTGTGTTTGCAGTGGGAGAAGTGTGATGGGACGTGTCTCCTGTGTGCAGACTCCCGAGGACCACGAGGGCGAGACGGGGATCAAGTCCAAAGAGGCCCGCAAGTACATCTTCAACTGCCTGGACGACATGGCTCAGGTATTTGCTAAAGAACACAAACACACTGGTCTCTCTCTCTCTGGTTTCTCTCTGGTCTCTCTCTCTTTCTGGTCTCTCTCTGATCTCTGTCATCTCTCTCTGGTCTCTCTCTGGTCTCTCTCTCTCTCTCTCTCTGGTCTCTCTCTCTTTCTGGTTTCCCTCTCTCTCTGGTCTCTCTCTGGTCTCTGTTGTCTCTCTCTCCGGTCTCTCTCTCTGGTCTTTCTCTCTCTCTCTCCCTCTCTCCGGTCTCTCTCTCTGGTCTTTCTCTCTCTCTCTCCCTCTCTCCGGTCTCTCTCTCTGGTCTTTCTCTCTCTCTCTCTCCCTCTCTCCGGTCTCTCTCTCTGGTCTTTCTCTCTCTCTTTCTCCCTCTCTCCGGTCTCTCTCTCTCTCTCTCTCCCTCTCTCCGGTCTCTCTCTCTGGTCTTTCTCTCTCTCTCTCTCCCTCTCTCCGGTCTCTCTCTCTCTCTCTCTCCCTCTCTCCGGTCTCTCTCTCTCTCTCTCTCCCTCTCTCCGGTCTCTCTCTCTCTCTCTCTCCCTCTCTCCGGTCTCTCTCTCTCTCTCTCTCCCTCTCTCCGGTCTCTCTCTCTGGTCTCTCTCTCTCTCTCTCTCCCTCTCTCCGGTCTCTCTCTCTCTCTCTCTCCCTCTCTCCGGTCTCTCTCTCTGGTCTTTCTCTCTCTCTCTCTCCCTCTCTCCGGTCTCTCTCTCTCTCTCTCTCCCTCTCTCCGGTCTCTCTCTCTGGTCTCTCATCTCTCCAGTAATACCGAGCAGACTAATCCGACCACAAATATAATGTCTGTGTAACATCCAAGCTGTCGTTCTTGTCTTACAGTTTTGTACATTAACCATGAAATACTTTAAATCTGTTCAAACATCGATGCCACCTCTAATGTCCAGACGCAGTGCAGCGATGTAGAGAATGTTACTGACAAACTCTGCTCTGGTCTCTGTCTTTTCTAATAAGTTACAGGCTTTAAGGTTGAGCAGAACATGTGGCTCGGCTGGTTACCATGTGGCTCGGCTGGTTACCATGTGGCTCGGCTGGTTACCATGTGGCTCGGCTGGTTACCATGTGGCGGTGCTTCCAGATCTCTATTGGCTTTTGACACGTTTACAAAAGGCTATAGTCCTGTCACATAGTCCTGTAGTCCTGTCACATAGTCCTGTCACATAGTCCTGTCACAGTGATTACTATATTGACTCATCATCCAATAGTAGAAGGAATAAAACAATTTTGGGTTTAATATTTATAATTTATTTTCTTCTAATTGTTGCTACTTTTATTGCAATACCATCAACGTCTAGCAGTAGAGCTGGAGTTGGTGTTTCCCAACCAGGGGACCCCTAGGGGTGTGTGAGGGTATTACAGGGAGTACTGAGGGCATAATTATAAATATCAGTCTGAAATAATAAGCTTGTATTACTTCAGTTTTGTGTTGAATCTTAAAAGTCAAGTTACATGAAAAGCAAAAATATGGTTAAAAATAGAAAATCAAAGTAATCAGATGTAAAAGATTAGTTTTGAAAACACATTGCTTAAAGAGAATGAAAACTCGATATAACATTCACCAAATGAGTTTGACTCGTAGGTTATGGATATTTAATCCCTAAACACCTGCATTTCTCCAATGGGGGATCAATAAAGTCTATCGATAATCTATCTATAAATAAATAGAATCTATCAGGGGGATCCCTGTCTGCCCTGGCCATGGGGCACACAGACCCTTTCAGTAAAGGGAGTAATAGAAAAACTACTGTACTTTTCGTCCGTCAAAATGTGTTATCGTGACAGGCCTTGTATACAGAAACAAATCTCTCATTGGGCCAAGCTGTCTTCTGACAAAATACTAAGAATGAAAAAGACTTAAAAATAGTGTTGCTGACATTTGAGTTCACTTTGTGCCATATTAAAATGCTATCGGCAGCTGCTCATTGGCCACGATGACAGCTCCTGCTCGCCTCGGCACATTTGTACACACTGCAGGCGTCGAGCTGTTTCCATCTGAGACTTTATCCATGAAACAAACATGTGTGATAATCCCAGACACTCTTGAAGCTTACATTGTATTTTTGAAGTTTTTTCATGAGCAAAAGGTGAACACACTGCAAATAATGTTAAAAATATGAGGTAAAAATTGAGGTAAAAGAACTGTAGCTTTATTTTCTCATTCCATGGGAGACATTTCTTGTATCTTTTGAACACAAGATCATTTTTGCTTTGTCCCATCGGAAAATCTTGTTTTAAGGCAGTCAAAATGTGCTCGAATTAAGATAAATTTTGCCAAATTTAAGCAATTTTCCATCACTTTTTGCAGTGCACACGATAACAAAGAAACGTGAGTAACGCATTCAACAAATCAAGACGTTAAATTGCTTCTGAATTTACACCTACACACTCGTTTCTGAAATGCATATATAAAAATTGTATACACTGGTGTGTGTTTGGTTCATTGGAATGTCATGGGAACAGCTCTTTCACTTTATATCACACACAACTAAACAAATGCTACAAGAATTTGATTTGCAAGAGAGCTCGGCAGTGAATCTTTGCATAGTGGTCAGTTCCCATGGACCCTGACATAGGGATAGGCTATGCTCCACTGTAAGCTGATATGGACTTGTTTTGTAGACCAATGCTGGCACATATGAGATGGACAGGATGGAGCAGAGACATTTTCCCATGGCATTCCCAACTCTGCCTGAATAGATATCGTGTTGTGTGGTTTTAAGAAGCCTGTGCCATGAGCAGGACAATTATTACTCATGTTACTCTTGGATTCATTTGAAGCCAGTGTTGTGGGTGCGTTTCATTTGGCTGTGCCTTGTGGAAGAACAGCACCATTGCATTTATTTAGTTGAATAGTTTTATCCAACTTTGACAGTTTCTGCTGCTGCCTTAATCAAAAGTGACGCATGATGTTGCCGTAAGAGACAAGATAGAGGTCTCTACAGGGGAAAGAAAGTGGCAAATATTATGTCTAATTGGATTATTCTGAAGCTACCGATCATTTTAACATACCAATTATCAGTGTGAGATATAGAGCCAAACCCCTGTCAAAAACCATACTATATTTGGAGAGGAGAGAGAGGGTTTTTTCATAAATAATACCTACTACTGCATGTTGTGGTCAGATTTGTTAATAATTGGTCACTGTTACACTACTCTTTCTGTGAACTCAGAATCAGAATTAAAATAATTCTGATTCTGAAGCAAGTATAAATGCCCTAACGTTAGCATAATACTAGCCTGGCCTTAGCTATCAATAAACTCCAGTCAATTAGCATTTTCCTACATGTCCGAAATGAAATGAGTACGATGGTGTGGTGAGAGCAGGCTAGCATGATACAGAAGTATGTGTGTAATTTTAGCTGCCACTTCTCCAGGACTAAATGTTAGGTTTCCTGGTTAATGGTTAAATAAAAAATAAATATATATGTAAATTTACAAGTGACGGAAATGTAAAAAAAAGTAATATTGTACTATCAAAAGCATGCAGCTCTGCGTCACAGCTGCCAAAAGAACAGGCTGCCATATGGGACCTGATGCTATCTCTTATCTTAGCGCACCTCCACACGATGCAGGAGTTAATGAAACAACCTGCAGTGCTATGATATCCCCTGGGTCATCTCTGTCTCCCACGCTTTCAAATCCACCTCCTCTACCTCCGTCTGGAAGACACGGCTGGATACAGCTGCAGCTTAATGCCTGTTTTGGCCCTAGTTATCCTGGTCCTATAAACAAGTCAGCATTGTGGACATCTGCCTGTGCGTATATAATGGATGATGTCGCTGAAGGCTCTGGAAATACTGGAAATACTGGAAGCCAACAACAGATAAGAAACTCAGTCACAAATGTGGGGCAGGTTTACCTAAAACTGGATCTAATGTATCCTATTCTGAACATATATGGAACAAACTAATGCCTTGTGGAGCTTCCAAACAGCTGAAAACACAATTGCTTTGATATAGAAAAGCTTGTGCCGAGTGCAAGTCTTGCCAAAACGAAAAAGGGGAAAGTGAATTAAGATTGTTTACATGCAAGAAGTGCAGCGCTGCCCGTATTAATGGCACAGGCACATTTGGTTTTCTCCTGGTGTTTTAGCTTTGTTTGCCGTGTAAATGATTTCATGTGATGTGTTTGTATGAGTAACTGTGTTTCAAACACATGTGTTTTTCTTTGGTCTAAAAGTTCCCATTGCTTATGACGAGCAATCAAGAATGTAAATATTTATAATAGTAATCTACTTGATTATATTTCTCAGTGGGGCAAATGATATTTAGGGCTAAACATGTTGGTAGATTAAAAGCAAAAACTGTGTTTGGATAAACAGATTAGGGAGATTAGGAGTTTAGGAAGATTCGTCCTGTCTTCTTAGGGTTATACAGGTTAAGAAACTTCCCTAAACAGAAATATACTGTCGCTAACTTTGTCTGGTTTATATTCCTGTGTTGACATATATAGTCCATCAAAGCTTACCAAAAAGCTTAAAAACTGTAAAATCATGACCTCACCCAAACTGCATCCACAGAACTAAGTTGACTTTAATGTACAATATTAAATATGTGGGTTGAGAGTTTGACTTCAATATTTAAATAAATACCAAAATCAACATCTATTTTTCTCAGTTTCAGTTTTCACAAATGGGAAGAACATAATGGACTAGTACAGATTACAAGTAGCTTAATAGTAAATATATGCAGTAAATACATTCATACTTCATTAAAGAATAGTTTATATTTGATTTTTTAATTTGATTTTTACACAGTGAATGGACCAGAGTTGTTGCCTTTAGCGTCCATAGCAAGACCGAGCTAATTTTCAACACTTTCCCACAGGTTTCTCACGTTTTTAATCATGTCATAAGATTGAAATGGATTGGCTCAGGACGTCCAGCTGTGCTACATTTGCAAATCTCCATTTTCCAAAGTCATTTCTTCCTGCGGCCAGAGGACAGCGTGGTTATTTCGCACCTCTGTCTGCAGATTATTCTTTTTATCACAGTT